TGATAGTTACTGATCAGTTATTGGGACCCAACGTGGTTTTGGAAGTGGAGACCGTGGGTGTGAAACGAAGAGATAAGTGACCGTGGCAGGAAAGGGCATGCAGGGTTTTCAAGCACAGACCGCGTCTCCTATATATGCCAATGGCTAACACCGTTACATACTTAACTCAAACCAGTTCATTCACACTCGGGAAAAATCAGACTTGCGGTTACATTTCCAAAACGTTTGCACTGTTCTCCGGGAGTGTTTAATTTAGCAGAGACATTAAATGTGATCTTTGCGAGGGTGACATTTTAATAGGGAATGCAATTCATCTTATTTTTATTTTGGTTTGGTTTTAGGACACAATTTGGGATGTGCTCTTCCAGAAGGACACACATTTCCAGAAATACCTTCACCAAGCAAAATGTTTTGTAAATGTTAATCTCAGCTCTTCTCCCCCACCCACAAACTGTCCACCTGATATCCGTTTATCACGCACGCACCACTGACGGCGTCACCAAACCCCGGTTAGCAAGGCATGATGCTGTGCCAGCCTTTGGCTGATGTCTTTACATTGCACAGAATCTGCTTTCTTCTTTTTGCTCTATCATCTCAAGTCCTTGTAGAAACTGGCTGTAGGAACGAGGAGGAATCAGAGATGTGTGTAGCTGGTGCAACAGTCTACAAATACATTCGTATCTGCTGAGCACCCACCATGACCACCTGGGTGACTTGTCAGGAAGGAGAAAGCTGCAACTTGTCTGCATCAGATGCAGGCGGTTAGTCGCTCGCTTAATATTAACCAAGACATCCTGCAGACCACAAGTCTCAGCATAAGATGCTCGGTCAAAGATGGCAGCTGTGTATTCTGGGACCTGAAGGCCAAAATGTGGGGGAGGGGGGCGGACCCCAGAAGTCTTATTTCATGCTCTGAGTCCACATTTAGATTAAGACAGACACTGCGTTTTCTCAAAAGTGCGAAGCACTGAACAGCTCCAGCTGACTTCAGTGGAAGCTGAAGGATGATCAGCACTTTGGAAAAAAAACAGGTTAGTTATTTAAGAGTCAAAAGTGCCTAAGTGACTTAGAAACCTATTGGATTCAGAACCTAAACCGTGTAGGTGCTTCTCGACATTTTAATCAGAGGAAACTATATGTTCACTCTCTGCTTTTAAAAATCTCAGAAAAATCTGTACGGTCTGCTTCTCCGTAATGCAGACAGACACAATTACGGGGACAGACCCATCATCTCACAATCCAGCAGGGCCATCGATGTAATAGGACACATTATATTGTTAACACAGACTCAGGATGCATTTCTAAACTGGTTTGATGGGATGAGGAAGGCTTAGAAATTAGCGAAAATTTAATATTTAGGACTTCTTTTCTGAAACACATGAAACTGAGGGGCATTTCCGAAGATTTGGAAGTATAAAAGGCCAAGCTGCAGACATGCTAATTAGAGCAAGAGCATGGTAAGTAGAACCATACTAAAGAAAACGTGGCTGGTTTAATTTAATAGCCACAGTAGCCAACTCTCAGACAGAAACCATTTGTGCTTCTAATAAAAAATGTAGACCTTTGGGTCATGACTATCCAATTGCAGAAGAGATTTTCAAGAGAGCATTTCATCGAAGAAAACAAAGCTACACGAAAACAAGAGACTACGAACTGTCCAGTAGCAAGAACAATTTCACTGTCCTGAGCTAGACATGCAGAGTATTAAGGCAGCTTGCATCAGCTCACGCGTTCCTGTTCCTCTAGGCCTTTTGAAGAACAAAACTGGAATCCAGCCCCCACCTCTCCGCATACGCTACGTTCAGCAACGCGGGCCTGGGAAATCCGTATACAAGAGCGAGAGCTTCTAGGAAACTTACTGACAACCGATCACTGAGCTGTGGTCAGACAATAACTGTCGCCAACCAGGAAAGGGTTTGGGATTGCGTTGTCCAGCTTTGTGTGGGAAAAGCTTCTTTGTTACCGTGGTAACGGTGGTGTCACAATTACATTTGAGAATTTTCCCTCTGTGAATTAATTTGGAAAATTGCTTGGTACAAGAAGTGTAACTTTTAAGCAGAAAGAATTCAATATAGGTTGAAAGACTAATTATGTCTATTGGCGAGCAGTCAGCTCATATGGTGAGACCATAACCAAAGAAAAGCTTCGGTGGGATTCTGGCTAATCTGCACTGGAAACCCCCTTTGTAACTCTGAGGATTTCATTTCAAAGTACGCTTACAATGATCAAATATATCCTAACGAGAAAACACGTTTTTTTTAAAGAGAGGCCTTCCAAATAGAACGACTGATTTTCGTGCAATGAACAGGACCAACCCTGGCATCATTTACTTGGGACTGTGAGAGAGGCTAGCAGGCTGCTGTCCACTAGTAGCACAGCAGGAGTTTCATTCGTACGCGCCGCATGCAAAGCTGTCACGGCAGGAGAGGAAGAAGTGGGGAGAAAAATCAGCGGGAGAAACCCACCCATCGGCTGCTTGCCACAGGGGAAGAAATCTCAGTGCCATCCTCGATGAACAGCTGGAGTAGTGTATGCTTAAAAGGAGGGCAGGATTTCTACAGCGTGAGCAATGACTGTATCGATCATTTCATTTCAGCCACAGTGCTGCGGAGGCAGGACAAGGAGACCCACTGGCAATGTGGATACAGAAGAGGCCGTTTGTTGGGCTGCTCTTTGCAAATAGGGGCTGAGTAAATGATTCAATGTATTAGTTACATAGATTATGGTCTCAACCATTTTTTCCTGGATGGGTGCAGAGGTATTGATCCCCCCGAAATACCAGCATGGTGTATGAAAATTAGAGATGAGCCCAAGGCTCGCAGCTCAGGTTCGTTACAGATCTGAGCATTCCCCAGCACGCCTGGGGGTTGTTCAGGCTCATCTCTAATGAAAAGGCAGGACAGTTCATCGCTAGTCTCACCGTGGACACAACCAAACACACACCCACACCCATGCACACAAACACATGCATCCTCCAAGCCACTGGCTGGCTCTGTAACATCAACCTTACACTTATTTACAGCTTACTCTGAGAAGTCTGTGCAATTTCAGCCAATCAAGCTCCCAGCAAACCTATATGGCATTTTTCAGTCTCTGCTTCACATTTAAACATTGAATATCTTTTTCAACCAACAAAATTGATGAGAAAAAGGTAGCAGCATTTATGGAAAGACAAAGGTTTGTACAACAACGACGACAAAAAAAAAAGGTACCGTTATCCCCTTTGTGAGCAATAAAGTAGGGACCGAACAGAGAGAAGCTAGTGTTTGGATATACTGTGCCACAAAATGGTAATCACCTTTCTGTGCGCGTGTTGGATCTGAAGAGGAAGAGCACCTGAAACATGAACAGTCCTTGTGTGCATGTGCGCGTTTTGCTTTCATTCATGATCCTGACAGAAGTGCGAAACTTGCTCCGTTTTCTTCTCTTTCTTATATTTTTTGGTGTGTGTGTGTGTGTGTGTATGTGTGTGTGTGTGTATGTGTGTGTGTATGTGTGTGTGCGCGTGCGCACGTGCGTGCACGTGTGTGTGTGTATTTTGTTTTTTGGCAAAGTGCAACCACACCTGGTTACCACAGTCCTGACATGGCTGAAGGTGCAAGTCTGACGAGGAGCCTTGGGGCTAGTTCAGGGTCCCTCTGCAGTTCTCAGAGCCACACAAACACGGGATTTTTACGTCCTCAATTGGAAACTTGTAGTCGTAGGTAATTTCCTCGTTCACATTGATGTGCTGCTTCGAGTAGATGACAATCTTCTTCTGGGACTCCACGGTGATGACTTTCGCGTAGCAGTTTGGCTGCAGAGATGACAAAACAGGAGAAGGGTTAAATATCATTTTTCCGGTGCAGAAAGAGGCTATCTAAAGAAAAAGCTGATTTGTTGCAGTCGTTTCCAGAGAGGGGCACAAGTCCATTTCCAGGGTTTGGGGCGCAAAGACTTTTCCCTATTGTCCCCAACACCAAGGAGGAATGGGAAGGTTAGAAGGGGGAATTAAGCCAGACACAATGACGGTTTTCCAAACAGTACTCGTCATGGTCACGGTAGTTTGTACAGCCAGGGTGCAGAGCCTCTAAGATCGCAGGTGAGGAGCGACCGTCACTAAGACTCAAAGTTTTATGACATCTGGGGCTCAGACAGTCTGCCCACGGCACAGGGGAGGCAGATATACCACCCCAGGAGATGCACAGTGTTGTTCATCCACAAACATCCAAACCCAAGCAGCTCCGAGGCCGGGGCTTTTAGCTTTGTGCTAACTTTCATTTATTGCAAACCATTTTACCTGCCTCCTTTTAAAAGAGGCCTTTTACTCTCACACTGTGAATTAAAACTAATTCGTTTGTGCTAATGCATTCTCTAGAAACCAGTAAACAGCTGCACTCAGGAAGTCAAGACTTTACGACCAAATCCTGAATAGACTTTATATTGCTTAAAGTCCCCTCCGAGCCCTTCCTTACATAGCTTAGATTCGCTCCAGTTCCACCACGGGTCATTAATGCATCCAGAGCCAACATCACTGCAGCTGACTCCTGCACGTAATTAAGTGCTGGACCGGTTACCTATGAGCAGCAGTCAACCACCCAAAACACAAGCCGTGTGGTACTTACATTGCAGCTGTGATTAATAAACCTGGCAAAGTTTCCACATTTTGTGGCATCGATGATGGTGTCATGGTCGACCCTGAACATGTAGCTGCTCCCAATGCCTTCATCTTCATATCGTTTCTCTCGCATGTCAGCAATGACCTGCAAAAAATCCCCGAATGCGAGGTCAGCAGATGCCCAGTGAAGCACAGGAGAGTGCTGTTGCTCAAAAAGACACAAAGCAAAGCTCTGCTGTTTATATTTTAAAAACTATTTTTGATCCAAAAGGAGTCAGGGGGACACAGATTTAACATCCAAACTGCCAACACCTAGGACAGGAGTCTCAAAAGGCGTGGGAGAAGATGAGACACTGAGTTTCCATGGGATTTGGTGGGTGTCACTTCTCCTCAATTCTTGGAAATCCCAGCCTTATCTTTCAAAACCATGACCCAGGGAGACCTCGGAGATTATTTGGAGCGTCTCTCTCACGGGAATTGCAAAGAATCCAACTCCTGCTTGCTGGAGAAGTGGCTAGGTCCGACAACCAAGTCCTCTTGATGATGCAGCTGTGGGGGCTGTTTGCAGGGTCACTGAGTTTACAAAGTGCGATAGTCAGAATAACATTTCCCTTTGTTATCTGCCAAGGCTGGAGTTTACGATGCCACATCTCCCCCATGGCCATCCAAGGGACAACCCCTAAAATGGAGCAGGGCACTTTATGCCTGGGCTGCCAGCAACTACTACAGGGGAGCCAGGAAGGATCTGCAAATACTACAGCTTCTTATACTCTTTACATCTCAGATGTATGTTAGACTTGCTTTTTTTTTTCAAATTTCTAAAAAAAGAAAGCAAGCTCATACCTAGATAGTTTGGTAACATTACCATCCATATGTCTTCTGGACAGATAAACGATTACTGGCATTGCTCATTTTACTCATCCACATTTAGTGCAGCAGAAAGGATGGCCGTACTTTCTCAGAGATATTCAGCGAGTTATTCAAATGCAAGGTCACCCCCACCTGCATTTTCAGCTGACCGGGGCCTGGGGTGCAGTGGTCTGCATTTCGGCACAAGGGCCCCTGGGGCTCGGTAGCTCGGCTTTAGGAGCCTCTTCAGTATTGCTTCCCCTCAGGGCAGAGCTACGAATCCCGAAGGGGGACTGATCTCCTGCTGCAGGCAGTAAAATGCAAACTTGATGTAAACCAGGTGAGTCTGGAAATCCTGCTGTCCTAGGGAGAGCAGCATCCCAGGCACCCCTGCTCAAATGACATCAAACGCGGATTCAAGTCCCTTTAGGTGAATGGCCCTTTAAAGGGCAAATGATCTTGAACCTGAGCTATAGTGGAGCTGTCCTATGTACATTTGCATTGCTTCTCATCTGTCGTCCGGACCAGTAAGCAAACCTTGCTTTGCGGGCTCTGTAAATGCACGGTGCAGCATAAAATAAGATAATGATTCAGCCTGGATTTAATTCTGTTTTGAGAAACCCTGTTCCCTTCTACATTGTAAAACAACAGTTTGTTCTAAAGCACCAAAGCTTTATCGCTCAGTTTAAAAACACCGTCTCAACCAGCGTGCAAACACAGTTGCTAAAATATCTAGTGCCAAAAATAATAAAACCTTCCTTTTTTATCTTATTTTCTTTATTTCCGTGTGGATGCAACATGCTACAATCAATGAGATCCTGTATGCTGATTAAGAAGAAGCTGTAACCATGTATTTTACTCTCTCAAACAGTTTCCAGGGAACAGGACGTACAGAGGAGAGGAGGAAAGGAGCAGAGTGTGTTGAGCCTTACACAGAAACAGCCAGAAGAAAACACAAGTTATACCCAAGTGTACGGATTTCAACATTGCAAGTAATCATCAGCCCTGGGGAAATCCAGGTTACCTGTCTGATGTTCTGGCCCACATATTCGATCACCATCTCATCAGCTGCGATGGGCTCCATAGCAAAAAGTCCCCAGTCGTGAATGTGGCTCTTGCAGAATTTTAGTTTTTTCTTCCGGAACTGCGTACAGAAACCCCCCAAAGCCCTTGTTAGCCACAAAACACAATGACGAGCCACGTAGCACGTGAGAAATAGCATTTGGCATGTTCCAGGCCACAAATGCAGAGTTCCCACAGATGGAAGCTGTGCCAGCAGTTACGGCAGACCGTCCTTTACCTCCGTGCCAGTTGTCACAAGGAGGTGGCCGAGCCACTATACATGGAAACCAAAGTCACCTTTCTTGGTTTCCCAGCTCTGCCACCCATTCACTACGTGACGCTGTGCAGGTTGCCGAAGCAGACCGTCGAGGGTGCTTTCTCCTGCCCGTGCATGCTGCCTGGTTGTAGCAAGCACACGGTTTTCATCCCAAGCACAGGTCCACCCATTCACTGGTTGTGCCTGTCCCAACGCCTGTCACATGTGCCACCCCACTGGGTGTGGACACCAACCTCTGTTCCATGGGTTTCTCTTTCATCTTTCCTTCCTCTAGTCATTTGAATGCTAGATCAAAAAGGTCGATGGACTGCCACTGATCTGTCCAAACCCAGGGACCCGTGGGGCCAGTGTAGTTAAGACGCCTGTTTCTATAGCTAACAGCACACAAGGGAACCCGGTGGCCAACGTCACATCTGTGTCAAGGGCTTGAACTTTTTAATATTTTAAATGAGTTTAGCACCCTTAGAAGGCATCGCAGTGAGGGAGCCACAGGCAGGTGGTTTCAACCCCCCGTGACAGCTACTGTAACATCACGGTCAACAGAGCTGGCTCTCCACGGCACACCGTGCCGAAGCACCACGGCACTGTCCTGAGAAGAGACCACAGCTGCGGTGTGAGAGGACAGCTGCTTTGCCGGGCCTGGTCGGTCCTTCATTAAGACTACAAGCCAGGGTGCCCAAATGCAGAGGTGTTCTCTGGGATGCGAGTGCCAGTCCACTAGGAACTTGCCTCAAGTTGCCAAATGCCTTGAAACTGCCTCTAGCTAGGAGCAACCCAACGCAGCCCCCTTGCTCATGCAGTCAAATCACTCTCAGCAAAGAGCTTCCCGCCACGGGATGTAGATTATTCTGAGGAGATCTTGCTCTCGGACACAGTAAGGAACAATACACAATGCAACGTGGCACAGGAAAATCAGAGCTAGACTTACGAGTCATGGGGTGCTGCAGCTTCTTATGTCAGCTTGCTCTAGCCTGCCCCCAGCCCCCCCCTGCACTTTCCAGCACGCAGAGGGAAAGCCTGGCTGTGTGACCTACCTTGAGCTGGTTGAATTTGAGTAGATCACTGTCACAGCTCCCGGTGAAAGATGAGAGAAGCCTGCGCTGCTCCGACCTCCTCTCGGAGCCAGCCCGGGTGGAAGCATGAGGCTGAGCAGGGATGCTCATTCCCTGAGATCAAGGAGAGAAAAAAAAAGTCAGATTTAGAGCAATCCACGTGTTAAACTGAATCACATGTTTGCTGAAGGCAGGTGAGATGCCAAACCTGAGCCAGAGGAGCCATGTTACGTGCCCCAGCAACCAGCACATTTCTTACCACCGGTCGGCAAGGCTAGCCCTCCCTCTCCGCTGCTCCTCGACTCTCGGCAGTGGGGACTAGCAGCTGGGTGCATCGGAGAGGCTGGGCTCCCGTCGTTGCCACAGGAGCAGACTTGAGCTAATCAACAGCTCCTGCATCCTGCTGCCCAGGCCGACGGGCGCCCGTGCCAGACATTTCCAGGGAAGGCCCAGGACTCTCGCGGGGCACAAGTTCTGCTTCATGTGCGCCTGGCGTAGGTTGCTCCCTAATCCTAGTCAGTCGGTGGCCAGTTTATCCCTCAGTGTACAAGGTTTACAACAAGAATGTTTTAAATTGAGTCCAGACTTCGACATTACCCATGCAAAGTCTAATCCTTTCTTGAACCCTACTGAACTCTTGGCGGTCCTGACGCCAGGTGGACAGGGGTTCAGTAGGTTATTTATTTAGGCTTCGTGTAAAGCAGTGGTTCATGCCCTGAGTCTTAAATTCAGCGCTTTTCAGCTTCACCGAGCGACCGCTCTTTCCAGCACACTCGAGTGCTAAGCAGGAGTGCTTAGTTTACCTGCTTGTATCTTTGGCCAATGTGTATATATGTGCATTCAACTCAGTCTCCTCATCATCATGTAGAGACCCTTCCATGCCTCTAATCACTGCATATCAGCTCCTTGTCTGCCGCATAATACCTCGCAACCCCCATGCGGCCTTTCGTATAGATTTATGGAACATCCTCAAAGCACCGCAAAATATGAGCGGACATCAGGATCAACTCAGTACAGCTACCAGTGAAATGTGCCCGAGCAGCTGGGAAGAACAAAGCAGCCATGATACAAATCCCAGGAGCAGTTAGTGATGCTCAACTAAGAGAGACAGAGGTCCCTCACCTCTGAAAGACAATACGGCCCCCTGCAACCGGGCTGGGAGACTAACTTTATTGCATACCGGAGAGTAAAGCATTGCTTCCGCGTTACCAACAGAAGAGTTCAAGCCTGATCCTGGTAAGGTAAGAGAGTAAGCTGTGGTATGCAGCTCCTCACCTGTGTATCAGCTGGTGGCTCCTCTGCGAACGCACGGCTGTTGTTGAGGTATTTAAGTTTGTCCTTCTTATCGATTTTGTAATAGCCTTCGCTTCGCGCACAGCCGGTAACGTGCTCCCGCATCCCGTCATCCCGCTTCTTCTTCTTAGGGGTGGAAAAGCTGGTGGGTGGAATGAAGTTAAGGAGAAAACAGGCTACGCATGGAAAGCATCACCAACACAACAGGTCAGTTCTTGCAGGCGCATAAGCACATCCAATGCTAAAAAAAAACAAAGCAAGTGGCTAGAGAACAGAAAAGGACATGATGTGACCCAAGACATCTGCTTCAGGACAAATGCCACCACCGTCACTGCTAGCTAGCCGTCTCATCAAAGAGGGACTGAATGGCCAGAGGAAGTCGATCTAAAGTCTCGCCTCTAGGCTGGGGATGGGGCAGCATGGGGCAAGTTTATCCTGACACTATCTGTGCTGCACAGGATGCATCATTACTGCATGGATATCTGTGTGCAGGGATGACAATCTGGCTCCCTCCATGGGCTCCAGAAATGAGAGAGGTGTTCAGGTTTGTAAACAAACCCCAAATGCCCTGCCTGCCTACAGGAGCCTGGCACACTCCCTTCATTTGTACCTGCGATGCTCTGGGACAGCAAAGGAGAAAAGGAATATGAAGATACACAATAAAGCAGAGAAAAATAGCCCAAGGTCCATGCATCGACAGCAGGCTCCCATAGACTCGGACAGACCCTGTGCCAACGTTCCCAAACCCCTTCTAAGCTGGTCAGTCAATTCAAACCTAAAGCCAGGCAACCCTGGTTGGAAAACAGAACAGGAATCGTTCACAGCCCCTCTTCTCCCTTTAACATGGGTCTGGGAAGAGGTGCTGTGCAGAGGGCAGAGCTGGGATCAGCTCTGCCACCGGCCCTGTCTGCCAGGGGTGAGACCCTGGCACTAGAAGGCTGGGACAAGAGTCTTTCTTTTGCAGCCAGGATGCATGCGCTTTTGTTAAGTGCTTTGAGGTCCTAGGGTAAGGTAATGCAGGAAGACAAAGCATTGTCATGCACCATCAAACCAGAAGACAAAAAACTGATGCCACTCTTCATTTTCACCATACAGTCTTATGAGCTCTTGAGTTCAGCAACCATTTCAACTGTTACCAGATGGATGCCCATTACTGACTGTCCTCAGCTGCTTCGTGTATGCGCATTGGTTAGCGGCATCTTTAAAATGTTTCATATTTAATCAGAAAAAGAAGAAAATGATTGGCCAAACTTTTTTCCCAGCTGCATGAAAAGTAAAATTAATTAAAAGGATGTCAGCCAGCCACATTTAGTCTTTTCCCCCTCGGGAAAGCCAACTACTTGCAGGATTTTCCCTGCTAACAGAGATCGCATTTTTTACTTTAAAAAACAACTCTCCCATCTTTGCAGGCTGAATTAATGCAAGAGAAGTGAACAAGGAAACTGGATGTACAAGTGAAATAACCAGCACAGTTTACCACTACAAGGAAAAGATGAGGAATAATTAGCTTGAAAAATTATTTCATTCGCTCTCAAAGGTGTATCTAGCCTAAAGAAGGTTTTGGGGACTACAGTTAACCTGGCAAAACATAACCGACTCCTTACACCTTGAAAATGCCTCATCTTTTAACAAACCGTCCGTCAGCCAATGTTAAAACACATCTGTATTCAGGTGGCAGCTGGTTTACACTCCCAAGCATGCCCGCTTCCAGAATAAGTGATATGCACGGCCGTGGAGTTGTATCATCTGGGAGCTTGTGCCATAAACGTGTGCTCGATGATGCTCGTGACCCTTTCGGTCTACTGAAGGATGCTTTCTGCATTTATATCACGGCCTCTTACACCGTGGGATTGAATCAAAACGCTTGTAACAAGAACAAACAGCCATGAAAATCTTCCACAACTTGGATTACAGCTTTGCTGTAAGAAATATAAGCCCTGAAATAATTCTTGTATAAAGTCACCTATGTAATGGTGTAGTACTGGAGGCTTCACTGGGAAATTACAGATTACTTATAACTGGATCAGAAAGTGGCCGTGGGGCTGGTGGCAGAGTAACTTCTGCTGGTAGAGTGCAAAATCTCAAACGTCGCTATTATGCAAGTTGCCAAAATACCACCGTGCATAAAACTTCCTTAAAGGAAATCACGTCTGCCTTCTGCTGTCCTGTCCACCTCTTCCCTGCCACATGAAACGCTAGAAGTGGAAGCCAGTTACCTTTAACTTTATAACAGATTTACTCTTGTGACTGAGTTTTCAAAGGAGGACGGCCAAAGATATTTTAAAATAAGCGGTTTTATAATGGCCATGTGCCAAAAACTATGAGGGACGGTTAATTTTCTCTCCAGTTGGATTTTCCCTAACAAGTCAAATAAATACTTTTCCAAAGATATGACATATGCCCCCAAAAGGCAGAGAATCAGAGGTTAGTCTGATGTGGTGTCATTAAATTGCGCACTTTGAATTAGGAAACAAAACAAAGAATTAGAAAAGCCTGTACCAGTTTTGTCACTCTTACTAGTCTGAGGCATGTTTTACATACATTTACTACAAAACCCCAAAACAAAACACCATTTTACCTGTGGCCAGATGGGATGGGATGGGATATTTTCCCTCAATGTCTATTTTCAGTCTAAAAACGTAATGAACATTTTAAGATTACATCCGGGCAGCTACAGGACCTTTGCACTGGTTTTGGAGAGGTATATCAAAATCTGCATTAAAGCTTATTGTTGCCCATGAGCAGTCAGCACTTTGAATCCTACTGCTCTCACCAGAGTACCAAAAGCCATCAACTACAGCATGGGCTGTTCGACTACCTGCTCACGTGTCTCTACACGTCAGCACTCGTATTATTACTATTTTAAGTCAAAACCTGTTAAGCTGCAAGCACTGAAAGAAAACTATTTGGGGGCAGATGGTGAGATTTCCTACAGCAAATCTACCCCAGAGAAAGCATCCTCCAGCTGAGGCACAGAAACAAACACCGGGCAAACCTAAGAAAGGTCTGGTTTAGACCCAGACAGAAGAGCTTCAGGCTGGAATGGCAATTTCCCAAGAAGGGCTGTGCATACAGATTTTCTCGCAATGCTTGCTTCTTGTTCAGCTTGAAATACAGAAACCAGAAATCTCGTCCACCAAATCTGGGCTTGCCCACTTCTGTGATTAAAACATTCTCTGTGAGCCGAATTCACAGCTGATAAATAAATGCAATCCTATTAAGTTGACGGTTACGCCAGCAATTAATTGGGTCCTGTAAGGGAAGACTATGATTAGAACAATAACCACTGCACGGAAACAGTATTTCCGCAGAATACACCACGCCGGCGAGAAAGGATATGAGGATGGTATACCCAAAGGGTATCATTGAGCCAGTCCATACCATTATCCTGCTGCAACAAGCGGTCGTACGTGATACACATGAACTTGATATCTTCTTCGTCTATTCCTCCGTTCCAAATATCATACAAAATGGTCATCTCCTCAAACTCGGAGCGGGGCCTGAAGACAGGTCGGGGTGGGGAATACTCTGGGGAAGGAATAAGTGGGATGTCCTCAGGTGTCTTCTTCTGCCTTCGCCACTGTCTTTTAGGTTTCACATGAAGCTCTTCTTCTTTGAAATCCTCATTCCACTGGTTCTCCAGTTCCTTAAACGGGAGTTTCTCTGCTACAGCCTCTGGGGGCACCTTCTCGTGGAAGCCGTCATTCCTGAAGTCCAGGGTGACCGCTTCGGGAACTTTCAATCCATAAAAAGCATCGGGATGTCCGCCCAGCAGCTCTTTGCTCACAGCACTTTCCATCAAGGCAACTGGGACAGGAGGAGGATCCACGGGTCTGCCAGAA